ATGGTGTTCTCTTGTTACAGGTGTGGCTGTGCGTTAGCTTGTTCTATAGCAGCAGACAGAGGCTCAAATAAGGCCCGATTAGATTGGAGCGATGCCTTTCACAAGAGAAGCTCCGTTGATACGACGTTTATTGTGATGTTTCGGTTCAACGGTCTTGAGTCTTTTTTTTAGTGTAAACATAATTTCACAAGCTGAAACTCTTCTGCTTCGGCAGTAACAAGGGATGAATTGTTGTCTTTTGTTCTGAGCATAAACAGCGTAGACAAAAGGGATCCTGAGGGAAAGTGATGTTGAGTAATGTTGGCAGAGGATTGGTGATTTCCAAGTTCCATCAACTTTAATGTTATCGTCGTGTCCTTCCTCTGATTATGTCTCTGCTTAGCTGAAGAGGACAGTTTTCCATTGGCCTTTTACTCTTTTCTTTTATTTGCATTGCCATCTATGATGTCTGTGCCTTCTATGTGCTGTAAAGCAACAACACACAGATTTCAGGGGGAAACTGGACCGTGTGCGACGCGATATAGTACAGTTAAGGTATATGTTAATATATAAGTGTTTGAATTGCATATTTGAACCTCAGTGCCTCAGAAGAGACGCACACAAACTGGGCGATGCGTGTGAAGCTCGGTGAAATAGTGAGTCATGCAGTGGAGACGCTGTTTGTGGTGAGGCCTTGGCACCTGCCTCCCCTTCGTTCTCACTCTCACATTCCGCTCCCACACTTGCACCTAACCCTCCCCCCCCCCCCCCCCCCCCCCCCTGCCCACCAGCCCACACACACGACCCCCCTCCCCCCCACACACCGTCTCCCCCGTCGGCACCGCACCGAATGACCTCGTCCCTCTTCGCAGCTGCAGCAACCGCGCAGGCAGGATGGCCAGGTGAATGTGAGCCCAGTTGTCTTTCCACCACACACATAAACACACATTTACTCGCAGCTACTTTTACCTCGAGCGCAGTGGTCTTCATTTCTCCCTCCTTCGGTTTCTCCGCTGGGTGCCTGTCTCTGCCACCTACAGCATGCAAACCTGAGGACAAAACACAAAGCTGAAGTAGAGCGGCGCGACTTTGTTTTCAGCCCCCAGATGAGTGTTACTGTTGTTGTTGTTGTTGTTGTTGTTGTTGTTGTTGTTGTTGTTGTTGTTGTTGTTGTTGTTGTTGTTGTTGTTGTTGTTGTTCAAGACACTGTGACACCTCTCCGCACACATACCCACCTCGTGCCATACACAGTATGTCCCATAAAGTACAAGGCAATGTGGCCAAAAGTGATTCAAAATGACTCCGGTGCTCTTAATATTTTCTAAGAAATTGAGCACCTGTTGTTTCCTGCCACAACAATTTGTCATATTAATGAAATTGAAAATCATGGACGGTGTCTCACTAGGTGATTTATTGAACTTGAGTTGCGTAACAACGCAAACTGAAAACAGAAATGTCTAAAAGAGAGAGAGAGAGC